AACACTGCATAAACACAACACTGTTTTAAAAGGGACAATAACAGTAAAGCGAAGGTACACAAGAAAAAATTAGAAGTGCATTGCATAAAAAATATTTTTTTCTATTTTCTTATTAATTAATGCAAAATTCTTTGCAGTATTTTACTTGCAGTCTATCGTTGTGTAGCAATTTTATGCGCTTTTTGCATTGGCGCATTTTGCCAGTGTTGAAGCATAAATAAAGTGTTAAGCAACTGCATTAGGCATTTAGCACGAATTCACACAATAGTGAATTGTATTTGGTTTCTGCTTTTTTCTGTATGAAATATACCATATTTTATATATTTTTACATTTCATAGCACTTCTGAAACCTCTCTTGCAGTTAATCTATTCGAGATATGTAAATGTTATCCATTAATTCGTTGTTGTAGTTGTTATACCGCAACGCATGCCTTGGATTTAAAAAAGCAATTATTACATGGCGCACGCCATACTGCAAAATGGCTGCAAGAGTGGCTGCCACTCTTCGGTGTTGCCAATCCACATGTTTACTGATGCATTACTTGGCCTGTTTGTGTGAAAGTGTAGTATGTAACGTCGGTTTATGCTACACTTACAGTGTTGCATTAATAGGTAATAGAGTAATTAAGTTGAATTGGTAATAATGTTAATTTTAGAGGTGAGAAAATCCATTGCAATTGTTGCTTTATATTGGAGAATTGAATTTTTCCTTACTATTTTCATTTCATCATATATTCTTTATGTACATCAATAGTCATGACCAATCCGGTCGATACGACGAAACATGCACATCATCCAATTCTTACATTTATCGGTTCAATTACATTGTGAAATCACTTTTAAATTATCCTAATTTTCTTCAGCCGAGTCCAACGATCTTTAATATTTAAATACCTTTTAAATCCATCATTTGATGTAAATCTCTTTCCCTGGCGCCATCTTTTCAAGTTTGGAAATAATTAAAACAGTTGTGGGAGTCAAATGTAGAGAATATGGTGGATGAAGAATCAATGGGTATCGTAATTTATTTAATTTTGGCATGGTTTTCGTTGACGTGTGAGCGGGTACGTTAACCTGCTGAAACAAAATTTTTTCTTCGTCAAATCGTTGTTTCTTAATTTTCTCATTTAATCGATTTAACAATAAGCAATAATTGCTGATGTTGTTGTTTTTCCTTTTTCCAAATAGACTATGAAAATTATTCCACTTGAATCCAGAAATACAGAAGCTAAAACTTTTTCAGCCGATTGTTGAGTTCGTGGTCGTTTTTGTTTTCAGTCAATTGTCACCTATCCTACCAAAAGCGTATTCATACCTAAATACTAATATAAAATGTTTGATATACTATATGTTCATATGATATGTTTATCATCTCTGCTGTCTCACGCAATTTAATTTTTGAATCATCCCACACAATATCGTAGGTTTTTTCAATGTTTTTCAGTTGTGACCTCTTTTGGACGACCCAGACGCTCTTCATCAAAGAGTGACCACTCGTACGTCCACGTTTAAATTCAGCTTTCCAATATTGCATTATTGCTAACTATGGTGCAAGGTTGCCGTATACAGAATCCATTTGCGATTTGATTGCATCATTGTTCATTTCTTTTAAAAGGAGGAATTTTATTACTGAACGATATTCAAATTTTGCCATTTCATAAAGGATTAATGCACCAAGGTGCACTATTTTAAGTATTTGTAAAAAGCTAACCAAACATCTGATAAAATCTCAATTTTTCAGCTGCCGTTTAAAATTTGGCAGATATACAAAATATAATTGGTTTTGTTTTGGCGTTGCCACCTGTTGTGAAGTCAGGTAATCAATCCATCTATTAGTAAAAACTGTAGTATTATTTAATGTTGGCATAAAGTATTGTATATAATCCAATCATTAGAGCAAAGGTTCCAGTACTTAGTTGATAGAAAAAAAAAGTAAAAATAACTGTGCATGGATACCATAAAATGGAAAACAATGGGTAACTGAATTTCACCAATTCTTCTGATTAAATTTTTTTTTCTTAAACCATGTAAGTTGAGTTTAATTAAAACTTTGAGAGAATAATAAGAGAATATATCGAAAGAAATGAAAAACAATAAGATCGTTCTACCTTTCTTCAATATTTTGTTATGATAATTATATGAGCAAAGCCTTATATAAGTTTTAGTCTGATAAATGGATTTTAAAGAGAAGTGTAAATGAAAAAACAATACACTTTTGTAAAAAAAACTAAGCAGACGTTGACACGTTTACGTTACATATATAGACCGCTTCTGTATTTTGGATTATTATATAAAGTATCCATAAAGAGCTGCATAAAAGCTAAAGCGTGCTTTGTGCAGGCAACTGCATTTGTATCTCATTTAGAAATAAATGGATGCATATTAATATAATTGATTATGTACTATAAATTGTTAAACAGGTAAGGTGACAGATGGTTGGGCTAAAATATAAATAAATTTTATTCACATGGTTTATTGAGGTTATGTTTTCAACACGACTAAAGAAAGGTTTGCTTGAAAAGTAAGTAAAAAATAAGTGAATCATATTACAAAGAAAACTACTAAAATTAATTTTATTCAGTCAAATGGCAGACCAAAAATATTTGTTCAGGCAAATCTCATGAAGTCCTTTCCCCTTCTTTTCTCTAGAACAGCGTTTATAAAACTTCTCATTTGACGAAATCTTTGAAAACGTAAATATTCTCGCACCTTAATTAAATTAAACCCATTTTCGCTTCATTCGTACACAAATTAAATTTCATGAAGGATTCTTCCGACTTAGCGCCTTTGCAAAGTTTAAGCCGACATTTTGACCTCAAATGAGACTGCGGTGTTGGCAACAGCTGCGTTGTTGCCGCAATCAATGCAACTTTTCAATTCATACGATTTTTTAACTTTCCAACACAAATGCCAACACAAACAGTACTGCCAACATGAAAGGCCTGAAGTGAAGTCTAAGCCTTTCTGTACTTTTACAATGTTTGTGTTTGTGTGTGTGTTTCTGTTGTTTTGTTTTGGTTTAGTGGTTGTGGCAGTTCTTCCTGTTAATTATTCATGACTTAGAAAGGGAAAAGAGTGGAAAAATAAAAGTAGCGCAGTCGAGGAAAAGTTTACCAAACATTAGAAAAGTTTATGGCATAGAGTTTTTTGTGCTAAATATTTAGTGCGTTTCATTGACTATGCGAAGATCAAAAGAAAAATGCTGAGTTTTCTTAACACTTTTGCTTTTGTATGTGTTTTTCAGTGTTGTAAAAGTGTAAAAGTTTTTAAGTTTTTGCTTCTTTTTTTGGTACTCAGTATTTGTTAATTTCCTTTTGCTAAGTTAAAGGCAGTAATGATGTATAGTAGTACTTTTAAAAGAAAAAAAAATTGTTGTTTCAAGTCATGCTGACAATGAAATTTATTTAACTTGAAGATTAGTAGTACGGGAGGCTGTAAAAACAAATAATATTTGGTCTGAAAATATTTGGCAAAATGTTTTCTTTTCATACTAACTTTCAAGTAACAAGCGTAATGAAATACACTAAACCTCGATTTGTTCGTCCCGATTTGATTCGGATTGCGGCGCCGAAAAAAAAAGGTTTTGGATTTGAATTGTGTCGGTAGTGTTGAAAGTTGCGTAGTTTTTTTGTAACTACGTACAGAGGGGAATTTTATTTCTTCTAGGTCACATGTTTAAAATGGGGACTTACATGTATTAAGAAGTTAACATTTGTGTGGTGAAGTGGAAAGGTAAGTCTCAGTTTTATAAAATTAAAAATAAGTGAAAAGCGTATACAAACTTTCTTCCAACATAAGTTAGATATTTTAAAGAAACCTGCACTTAAAGAAAAACCTGCTGACATTAGGAGAGTTCTGGGTTTAGCTCCAACTACTGTAAGAACAATTTGTAATCGTGATGTGGACAAGATAAAGGACTACGAAAAAGCTGTCATACATTTACAGTCCAAACCAGTTACAAAAAATATAAGTCCATTATATACAAGTCCATTATAAAAATGGATTCCCTTTTCTTCATTTGGATGAAAAATCAGAACAAAAGAAGAATGCCAGTCAAATACAAATTCAGAATAAAGCTCTGTCGATATTCAATTAATTAAAAGGCAATTCTCCATCATTAAGTGGTCAGAATCTAGAATATTTTTAGAAATTAAATTGTGGTGTTAGTATATTATTATTATATTATTATATTGATAATATATTACATTATTTCAGTAAATCACAATCTTGTTGAAGTTTTGCTTGATCCAAATTTTCATTTTCATCTAACACAAGGACTTGTTTGTTTAGAGAGATAAGCATTTTGTATCTCAAACATACATATTATACGCTTTGTTAATTAGTAATATTCGTATATTTGTTTTCACAATAGTATTTTTAAAAATAGTACTTTTTATAGTTGATTCCTCAATAATAAACACAACATACGAATACGTTGTAGTTTAGGTATTACACATCACACATAATTTTTCTAGAAAATTTCGTTTCATTTAAAAATTAAGATTACTGCTTCATCTATAAAGTGTAATACCCAATTTTAAGAGTTTTATGTTTTTTAATTGTGCTTTATTGAAATATATAACATATATTTTACTGCACTCTGCAGTAAATACTTGATGAGGATAAATTATTTCGGTGATTCTCATAAACATACTCATAAACATTTTAAAAGCAAAAGTTTCATATGTAGGCATGATAAAAGCAGTCTTCCATCAAAACATGTTTAATCACTATGGAGGTGTTTCTTAGTTCCGTTGCAGATTTCTTCCCAAGATTTCTTCTTTCTTCCCTATTTCGCTAGTTTAAGCTTTCCGCAAATATTTCCTATTCCATAAGCTGAAGTCTTAGTTGAAAAATTAATTAGGCAATTACATTTTTAAACCGTTAAAATAGTTCAAAAGATTAAAAAGTATTTGAAAATATTTATTTTAAATGCATTTAGCGAAGCCTTCTGTGTAAAAATAAAATCAACTAAATTAATATAAAAGCATTTTACTACGTGGTAGGTGAAAATCTACAAAACCCACGTGAGATATTGTTCCACAAAAACATCACAGGGATGAACAAGGAAGATTCCGGAATTCCAGTTTTAATGCCATAGAAATTGCAACGTTGAGCCTATCATTCCACTAAGCAAAGATAAAAGTAGTAGTTAATAGGCTTCCTAATAAGCACTGTACCGGTGATGAAAGTTCTTAATGACTTATAGAAAACAATACTATTATGACACGCTGTTATTACAACATTGTTGGAAAATATATAAATTTTTATTAATTGGTGAAATAATATCACTGCCTATAATAAAAAGCGGAAACCAATTTTTGAAGGCTTTTTACGAGTTTTGTAATTTGCAGTACAATTTTCCAAAATCATTAAATTTAATTAAATCCAGAAATCCGCTTAGCACACCAATTATAACCAATCGCAGCAATATTTTAATTAAAAGCTTAAACGAATTGATTTTTGCCTACTTTAACCAATATTTCACACCACATCAAATAAAATTTTGTACTCAACGAAACGCAATAAATTTGCAGAATTAATCAAAAATTAAAAAAAAAATGCAAAGAGTTTAATTAGAACTACGGATTTTGCGTAACATGCGTGTATCTATGCTGCGGTCAGTGCCAGCATAAAATTCAATACAACTAAAATTTTTCCTCTAACAAAAAAAAGTGCAGTTAAAAAGCAAAAACAAAAAAGTGTGGAGAAAAAACTGCATAAATTTATATGCACTTTGGGCAAGTACCGAAAATGCATTCGAATTCGATTTGGTAATTTGGTGGCAGAAATTTGTAATGAAATTTAATTGGTAACCAATTTTGAGTTGTAAATCAATTCAAAATATTGCAGCACTGGAACTTTTTTGTGGTGCGCCTTTGTGCTCACACAGATACATAGTTTGATTAGTCGATGCACGCGGGTGTGTGTGTGTGTGTGTGTGGTGCGTGTGTCCTGAATAAATGCATAATTCTAGTTTGTTTAGAGTGCAGCACCAAGGATCAAACAGACATAAAAATCAATTTGGCAAATGTTGCAACTAAAAATTAAATTGATTTGCAAATCAGGCAAAAACCTGAAAATTGCACTGAAAAAAGTTCAGAATGATATTTGAGTGAAATCCAAAAAAAAGTTCCAAAAAAGTTCGGAAAAGCCGAGAAGAGTCCACAAAAAAAAACATGTTGGAATTAATTTATTTTATGTTACGCTTTTTGGATTATAGATTCACACAATTTTATTTGCTCTTAAGTGATGAAAAAATATACCCAAACACATATCTGCATGCATTCAGCATTTGTGTGCCTTTGTGCGGTACAATACAGGATGCAAATGTTGTATCCTGTGGATTTTATTCTATAGTTCGTTGTTGGCAATTTAT